GTTCTGATACACGTGGACCTTCCTGTTGTTTTTGTTCTTCCACTCCACTTTAGCGTCTTTAGGCAGGTTAACTGTGGTTTTGCAGGGCAGCTGGACAGACTCCACCCCTGAATCCACCTCCACCTTATAATCTGAGAGGGCAACAAAGCAGAACATGAGCTGTAGTGAACGTTACTAATCATCATCTTGTGACACAGAAATTATTTCTGTCCTCAACCTCAATACGGCATTTGAAAAAAAACGATCACAGTATTTTCTAACTAGAACACACTTTGGGTATTATGGTAATTCCACTGCTGTGGGTTTAATCGTGTGTGTTTGACAGGCTCTAATTTTTTAACGTAAATGAACTGTCTTCTGCAACTAAATCACACAGTTACACAGGGTTCTATGCTGGGACTTTTTACTGTATAGATACTTTCCTGAGGAAACATTATTTGAAAACACTGCACCTCCACCTTATAATCTGAGAGGGTTAGTGGACATGGACTGTGCTAATATAATATTAGCGGGTGACTTTAACTGTGTTTTATGCCCAAAAATGGATAAACTTCCCCCACAATCTACTTTGACATAAATTCCAAAGCCCTTTGGCAGATTGTAAATGAGCTCGACCTTGTGGACGTCTGGCGACACTATAATCCATTATCTAAGGAGTACACTTTCCACTCTAACCCTCACTTGTCAGCATCTCGTATAGATTATATTTTTATGTCCAAGTGTATCAGTCAGTTAGTTCAGCAGGTAAATATTGGTCATATAGGTCTCTCTGACCAGGCTCCTGTGGTCCTAACCGTTCAACCCATGAGACATATTGAGCCTCCATGTCTTGGAAGATGAGCACACTGTCTCTTTTGGATGAGATATTTATACATTTCATAACAGAGCAAACAACATTATTTTTAGAAATAAATGATAAAGAGGAGATAGACACGAGAACTTTATGGGGTATAAGGCTTACATGAGAGGGATGATTATTTCATACACAAGTCATGAAAGAAAACAACGATTAACAAGGCAGTTAGAGGTCGAGAATAATATAAAAGAAAGCTGGAGAAACAATATTACGTAACAAAATCAGCTGAAACATTAAGTGAGCTTAATATTGCCAGGACATCTTTGCGTAATTTGATAATGTGAAAGGCTGAAAGAGACGTCCTTCTTGCCAGACAACGGCTTTTTGAATCAGCTAATAAGCCTAACTGCTTTCTGGCTCGTCTTGCAAGGAATACTCCATCAAGTTCTTTTATCACAGCTATTGTGGATGTGAATGGTGAAAGGCAAGTAGCAAACCGTCTTATTAATGAGTGCTTTAGAGAACTCTATACAAATTTATACCAGTCTGAGATGGACCTAACAAGGCTTAACTCGGGCTTTTTCCTAAACGACTTAGTATTCCCTCAGCTCTCTGAAGATCAGGTTAGCCTGCTGGAGTGTCCATGTGGCTGCTGGAGTCACCCACACATTGATGGAGGTGGATAAAGCTATATCTCCACTCC